AGTGTTAGAAACATGAACTTAAGGAATTCAATAAGCATTGTCTTCTAGAAGTTCAACTGATTTCTGAATACATGTCAAAGCTAGTGGGAGCATAAGTGTTATGCTTGTATTGTAATAATCATCGTGTTAGTGGGAGCATGATTATTATGGTAAGTATTGCAAGTTAGCAATATTAATTATAGAAAACAAAGATTCACTTTGCAAAGTTGCAAGGGTTGAAAAGTTGTTTTGCTATAATTAAGGGAGAGAATATTATACTTCGTTTCAAAAATTCTAAAGCTTAGATCGAGAAATGTTAATAAATTTAGTCAAGGATACATAGTGCATTCTCAAAATTCGATTATGATTACAACATCCCTCTTCATAGTTCGAATTATGGGAACAAAGCACATAAAGTATTATGGCAGAAGGCTGATAAAGTATCACGTCTTTATGTGAGACATTATGCATCGTGTCCAATACGCTTCTGGTATAGGATCGATTGCATATGCTATAATATTTGACCATTCTAAAATTTTCCAAATGCCTAGGGCATTAAGAGGGAAAAGGGACTAGAACTGGATTTGACTAAAATAATTAAACAACTATCAAAGGATGATCTAAGGTTCGCCAAGGATTGGTCACTTATGAGTAGTTGGAAGTATAGTATTGGATGGACTATATTGACATTATTATGAATAGATAAGATTCTTTCAAGAATGAGTTGTCATATAGTAAATATGGAAATGTTTCCATAAATGGGAGTTGGAAATTAAGAATCTATGTAGATTAGAAACTTTTATGCAAAAATGATGTTCAAAGGAATGTACTTTGAGTGAGAGACATCACATCTATATAATTGTTTTGTAACAATTTCTGATAGAGTACCTTGTGATTTCATTGGCCGAGTCTTTGTGGCTTTTGTTGTGACTTCACGAAAGGATCGTTGCATAAAATGTTAGAATCTGACATATTCTAAAAGTGGCAAGAATTTGGTATTCTTATACTAATAATAAGGATTGGGGATTGTGAAATGAGTTTCATTGGAAAAGTTTTTCAATTGATCTATTTCACAAAGTATGGACCATAGGAAACCAAAGTGTGCATGCTTGGAGCATGGGACAATTGTGGTTATAATTCGAGTAATAAGTTGATTTTCTGAAACAGTAAGCAATGAATAATGAGTAATCAATATGGTGTTTAAATAAAAATGTTTTTATTTAAGCTCAAAAGTTTTGGGGCTATATAGGATTAATATTATTATTGCGTTTCACTTTGCATGTTTTGACTTCCAGAATAACTGGGTTATTCGAACCTCCACAGTCGGTCATACGTTGGAATTAGGTATGAAGGAAGACTGTCATGAATTTGTCTGTAGATTGTCTAAAGTGTTTAGACATAGCACAAGTTTGCTGTAGAGTTCATGAGTGCTTCGATAAGATTAAAGTATTGGATTAAACCCACGCTCACTTGAATCACTTCATGGATTTATCACGGGTGATTAGTGAGACGATAACATTGTATATTCTTGAAACCGAGACGTGTGAGTTGTTATTTGCTGGTCGGTTGCACATTGATGATAAGTAAACGCACCAATAACTTGGTGTTATAAAACTTATTGTTGTGTGTGATTCGATTAGTAGGTGCAAGCAAGCATTTGAGTCGAAGTTTATCCATTCCTTTTACCTAAAGTGGGATAAAAGCGATGTATGTGGGCCCCTCGATGATTTAGTGATGACACCCTAAGCGCTTGGCCAAGCCGGGACTAAGTTGATGTGTTCAATTGTAGTATGTTGTCAGTCGTCATAAATCAGATGTCGGGAAACAATACATAGACAGAGAGAATGATTTAAATCCATGTCTCATGTCTATATGATATCTTGTAGAATGGAGGAATATATGATCCCTTATCTAAAGGACACGCGTATCTGATAAGATCAGAGTTGACAACGGCTTTTGAAAGCTACGATTGCTGATCAGGTTCTGAAGTTATACAAAATAGTTATTAGACTTATCCAAGTGGGAGACTGTTGGATTAGTGTTTAAGTCCATAACTATTTTGGTATGTACTTGACCCGATTATGAGCATGGTCCTTTTGGGTTGCCTTCACCATAACAATATGTAGGATGAATTAAGGAAAGAAAGGTTTAATTATGATTTATTAATATATTATAAGAATAATATATTAAAGGAGAAATCATATTGTTTAATTAATATTAGTCAAGAATTAATTAAGAATTAATTTTGTGACTAAAAGAGATTAATTAAACTTAGGGGACTGGAGTTGTAATTATAAGATAATTACAACTGGGCTATGGATCACCTAATAATATATAGGTTGGACGAATTCTATGGGAAGCCCATAAGGAATTCGTCCAAGGGATATGTTAAAGGAGTCCATGGGCTGCTTAGGGCCTAAGCAGTCAGATTAGGGTTTCCTAGTTGCAAACCCTAATAGCCTACATGTATATAAAGGACCCCTATGCCCCAAAAACGTGGCTAAGTGTTCCTTTAGGGTTTCCAGCCGTTTTTGGTGCCTCCCCTCTCTTCTCTCCTTCATCCAATTGCTTAGTGGTGTTTGTGACTCCATTAGAGGTGCAACACTTGAGGCACTAAGCTTTCTGAAGCCAAGGATTGATTGTTATTGCTATATAACAATCAAAGGTAAGATCTAAACCCTAATTTCAGTTATAGTTTATTAGATCTAGGGTTTATGGCTTTGGATTATCAATTGCATGTTCATTAGACAAACTAGATCCAAAGCTATTAGGGTTTGCATGTACACCATAGGACTGATGTATTGCTCAAAACCCATCACTGGTTAGGTCAGTGTCCTGGTTATAGGATGATGCCATGTTAGTGACCGGTTAGGTCTGTATCCCGGTTCTTGGGATGTTGTTACGATTAGTGATCTGTTAGATTGGTTGACGGTTATATGATATGAACTAACGTATGATATTTATGTGCACATGTTTGTTTGATTGGGGTTGGGTTGAGGCGGTCCTGCTTTGTGCTGAAGGCCAACATACCCAGTGAGCGGTCCGGATAGGCTGTAGGCCCTGCGAGGCGGTCTAGTCAGGCTGAAGGCTCATTACACATGCTGATTTGTATTTGAGAATGTGATATGATTATGGTTATATGAGAATAGTATTTTTTTTTGGGGGGGGGGGGGGGGGGAACTCAGTAAGTTTTCGGGCTTGCAGTTTCAGTTTATTGTTTTAGGTACATCAGGGGATCGCGGCAAGGCGAAGACATGATCGTACAGTTCCTCTTGATTTGTTTATGTTTCTGGGAAAACTCTGATATTATACATTTTGAAAACAAAGTTGTAATGATTTTGATGGTTTGAAATGTTTTAAAAAGTTCAAATTTGTCTTGAAATTTTTCGGTGTTACATCCCGATAAGCTATTTCTAATCAAGATTGAAAATAAAGAGCCCGAGCTCTTTCAAGTATGTGTGTACTTTCAAAGTGTAAAAGTTGATGTTATTCATAGACTTATAGATATTGTTATTTGATAGTAAACACTAAACATAGTATTAAACATTTTCATCTCATTTTTTTTTTATAATATACACACCCACTTATCTTTATTATACATAAAACATTTGTTAATTTATTTTCAAAATAATAATTTGATTCCATTTTATTCAAAATAAGTTTATTTTGTCTTCTAATGACAAGTCACAACAATTTCCATTCTAAGTTGTACAACCTTGCATATGAGAAGAGTGTGGTAGTGTCTAGTGTGCATATATCTCATGCTAAGGTAACAAACAACATGTCCACCTTATAATTTATTTCCTTTTAATTTGCCCACATTAATATGTTACCATTGAAAGAAAGTTGACCGGCATTTCCGTAATTTCTGCAAGTTACAAGGTAACTTTTATATGAAATAAAATAGTAGGGGCGGTCTACTCGCCGCCTGTTATGCGCATGCTATATATATGCCCTCTAGTCCCTCCACCTTCTTGACTGTACTTGACCTCCTCCTCCTCCTTGTTACCAATGGTAGTTATCGGGTTTCGCTACATTTCCGCCTTTGCTCGCCATTCCGACGCCGGTGTCTGTTACTTCGCTTCTGCCGTTAGATTTTGCATTGACGTTACTGGACTTTAACGCCATTATCATTTCGTTTTTGAAGTCTACGGTAAACACACTCACATACTCTGTTTTATGCGATATGCGAGGGTTTTACTCTGATCAATATATACTACATTTATGCATGTCATTTATCCGTTAATGGTGTAGTACTCAACTCTGTAAGTTTTGCGAGGGTTTTGCACGCAATGTACGTCTCGTTGTTCCTCTACGAATCCTGTATCACTCTTATTTTGGTAAAAATTTCAATTTCGATCCTAGTTGCAGATTATGGTTTATTTTTTTGAAACTAGATTAAAACTAATCAACATAGCGAGGTTAGAATGGATTGTTGATAGCTTCATTGTTCATAAATTTTGCATTGTGGGTTTTGCTAGTTGGCGGAAGTGTTGATTCTGAGTTTAGGTTTTATTTTTGGATTAGGGTTTTTAATTGTATTCTGTCTTACAGTTCGTGTGTGGGGAACTTCAACTTCAGTCCCCCCCACCCCACAAAAATAAAATAAAATAAACTAATGCAAACCAACCCGACAAACAAGAGGCATGTTTTGATTGTAGATTTTTCTATAAAAGAGGGGTTCTCTTGAATGTAGCCCAAGTTAGTCTATTTCTTTTGTTTTACTTTCATATTTTTTTTGTGGTTTTACTTTCATATTTTTTATCATTATTATTACAATAGTTCAAATTTTAAAATGCTATTCTCATATATTTGGCCTATTCAATTACTATGTTGCAGTTTCCATGATGACAGATTTGGCACACGAGCCACAACATAATAGTGAGCATATTATTTGTTTCTAATTATGCTATTGATTGAACATGAATTATTGTTATCATACCATGTAATATGTACATGGTGTTGTTACATGTTTCAAGATCTAGTATTGTGTCTCATAAGTCATTCATTTTGCAGACTCTATGGATGGTTTTCAATGTTATGTTATGCTAAAGAAGGATGCAAAAATCATTTGTCGAGTCAAATGCTCAAAACCATCAATGGCAATGTATTTATCACTCTTATCACTTCTATTTTGTCTTGGCCCAACTACATTTTTTTGAACCTTTATATTTCCGGTGACATTTGACCTATTTGATCCGTTTCATTTTTAGCCACTTATTTAATTTTTTACCAAGGGAGATAAAAAAATATAAATCGAAATTGATCTATTTTAGATAAACAAGTAAAAGTTGCAACCTTTGCTAAAGGGTTATTTAATCGTTTGAAATTTTTTATGGAAACCTTAATATAACTAGATGGTGACACCCGTGTACTTGTATTTTTATTGGTTAACGACTATTGAATTTTTTTGCAGTAATAGGATTTGGGATATTGGTGATTTTATAAAGCAAGAGCATCTTCCTTCCGGATTATATAGCACTCGTATACACCCAGCTGGCGAGGATAAGCATCAAAAGGAAGAGTGGTGTAAGTTCATGCGATTCTTGAAACAATATAAAAAGGTGAGGACTTGCAATTATTGTTTATTTTATGCATTTATGGAATGTTAAAGATACTTGCCCACATATATATTTTTTCTCACCTATCAACAATTGAAGACCATACTATATGTTGATTATCAAAAAAAACTTCCCCTTTGTGTACTAGTTTAGAATCCTTCTAAGGTTAATTGTCATTATGATTTAATAGCGTGATAGGGGATATATATTGGCTTTTAATCGTTTACTTTTCTTGTGGGTTGTTATTTTCTTTCAAAATTTCTTCCATTAGGACTTCAATCTATCCTTTCTATGTTTGGAACTTGTTAGTCATGATTGTCTTCTATAAGATATTGTAGTTGTTTTATAGTCTCTATTTTGTTAGGAAAAATACTAAAGTTATAAAATTATATGTATGTTCCATCTTTAATGGTCTTACTATATCCATGTTGCAAAATGCAACCTACTCGGCTAAGTACTCATAGCCTACTTGGAACTTGGGCATTGACCAAGGTGGTTTATTAAAACTAAGTCAAATTACTCGGATTGGTTAAACTTATACCAAATCGGTCTAGGGGCAACTTAGTCAAACTTTGTCAAGGGTTAAAATTCACAACTGGCTTATGATATTTGTTATAGGTATAGTTTCCTTAAAATTAGTTGCTTTACAATTTACCATTGTCGAGTACTCTTCGAATACTACTACTTCTAGGTTGACTGAGCATGTAGTGAGTTTTGCAACATTGACTATATCTTTCAAATTTAAAATGCAGGATGTTTAGTGATTTTTATTTTAAAACTCATTTCATTGTAATATATATATATATATATATATATATATATATATATATATACACATTAAGGCTCTTTCTACAATTTGAAGTGATAGTTATTGGACTTTTAAGGTTAATAGATTTAATTTGCTATAAAGCTTATAAAAAAAGCACTTTATATCTTGTTGACATGACATGTATAGAGGTTGATATAGTAATTCGTAGATAACATGCATAAGAGGTCAATTTAGGAATTTTTTAGACTTGGCACGTTATGCGACATTTTAAGTACTCCTTGTATTACAAATAACTACAATGTTTTGTATTTGGTATGTTTTTGTATTTGGTATGTTCTTTTATCCGAATTTACCTTATCGACTACTTTGTTTTTGTCCCACAATTTTGATTTATTCCTTAAGGGGGGCATTTTAGTCATTAAATAAGTAGTAAAAAGATATTTATTTTCTTTATTTGTAATGTTCTTACCATCATATAATGCTTTTTGAAGGCGGCTTTTGCAAGAATTGAAAATGGTAAGTTGTACATTCTTCCTTCCTTCCGTGATGAAGAATATGGGTATGCTATCGTGATGTATATTATGCATGAAGATACTATTCCTAGAAGCCATAATCATATCAAATTGGGTTAGTTGTCCCTTCTTTGTATACTTTTATGTATATTATATTAATTGTCTATATCTATCATCATCACTTTATTTATATGCACACATGTATGTATAAAAAGCAAAACAAAAACATATGAAATGAAATCAAGACCTTTACTACACTACCCTGACTATAAGCCTCTACCTTTGAAAAAAGTCAAAACTCATTCATGTCTAACCTCACACTATCTTCCTACTTCCTTTGGGACTTGGACATTACACCAAGCTGACCCCTTGCAATAAGTTTAGGCGATGACAACAAAGGCAAAATGTTTGAAGTTTGCAAAGGAATTACAATAACACTAGGCTTCTATTCTTGCCAAGTATATGCCCTAGTTTATGGATAGGGTTCTTTAATCATCATCCTTGTGTTGCTTTGCTTGGGTGGGCACCCTAGGCGACATGATTTTAACTGTAGAAGTCAAGAGATGCACTTTTGGGATCAAGGGTCTCCCATCTAACTATGTGGCATATCCTCTCCACAAACAACTTAATCCCTCAATTCATAGTTGGAAGATAATTTACGTTCGTTTACCACCCTATTGGAAAACAACACTTTACAACCTTCTCATCAAGCGGAATTGGATACCATCTTACACCAATCCACCTCACTTTTCTAGTTCCTTGAAGCTTAAGGCCTACCACCACCTAGAACCATCTAACACACAATTAACCTCCATGAAGGCTGTGTTTGACCATATTGGTACCCTATTTGTAGAAGGATGAAATTAGAAACAACGAGTTTGAAATGCTCGCAAGTGGGATAATTAGCATTAGCCAAGGCACATTCTAATTCCTATTATCCTTGTTAAAAAGAAAGACTTCACTTGGTGTTTATGTATTGGTTATAGAGAATAGACTTTATAGAGAATGGACTAGGTAACAATCCCCGATAAATACCTGATCCCAGTCGTTGAAGAATTGTTAGACGAGTTTCATGTCTCCATGTATATTTCAAAGATCAATCTAAAAGTCAGGGTTCCATCAAGCCAGAAGAATGAGTGAAACTGTGGCTAACAAAACTGCTTTCCGATCCCAAAACGAACATTATGAATTCCTAGTTATGCCTTGAGGGCTAACAAACTTCCTATAAGCTTTCCAATCATTGATGCATGAGGTGTTTCGTTCATTACTCTACAAATGTGTCCCCATCTTTTTTGATGACATCTTTGTATACAACAACTTTTGGTCATCCCACCTTCACCTACTTACCCAAGTCCTTAAAACGCATCGGTTAGTAATCAACAAGAAGATTTGGCATTCAATTTGTGGAATACTCGGTCTCATCATCAACAAGCACAACCTCTCTATGGACCCTTAGAAGATTGTTGCAATCAAAGAGTAGCCAATTCCAAAAAAACCCAAGGAGTACGTGGATTCTTAGCATAACATTATCTGATAAAACTCTTGATAAATCATCTATGGGAAAGAAATGGTGGCCTTTGTCTTGGTTATCCAACATTGATAGAGAACAATCATTTCTGATAGACCCCATTGAGCCCAAAAGTGAAACCCATTTTAGTCAACCCAAGCCTTGGAAGGTCTATCTATCATCTCAAGAAAGGGAAATGATAGGTGTAAGGATGAGATGAAAGGAGGTTGTTAGAAGGGAATACTATATGTAGTGGAGGCTGCATAGACTATGTATAAAGAAAACATATACATAATCACGATCAGACTAGAATAATCTCATCAATGATCATCATGTTTATCACCATAATTGGTGAAAATATTGATTTTGATTTGGTTAGTTTTTCATTTCCTTTTTTGTGCCTTGTTTCTGCACAGAGCTCAAGAGTGAAAATGATGGGTTGGCTAATTGCAAAATTGACAAACAAGACCCTCCTGGTTGGAAAGTTTATAATAAAGGCCCTCCTAATAGCAAAATTGACAATGAAGATTGTACATCTGATCAGAGTCTTGGAAATAACAAAGCTTGTCAGTCGAGAGATGAAACTTGTAGCAGATCAGGAGTCAGTGCAACATTGCAAAATGCTCCTGTTCCTGGGAAAAATTACGTGTCTGCCCATCCAAGCTACTTGAAAACACTTGGTCAAACCCATTCTGACTGGATCTTTGGTGCCATTGCTGAATTTGTAGACAATTCAAGAGATGCCAAAGCAACAATGTAAGCCTTTCATATCATCCATTTGGCTATCACATTGTAACATTGTGTATCTTTATTGTTCTTTTTGATAACTATTTATCTTATTTTCATTTCTTTCTTTAACACCATTGCACTTTGAAAAAATTTCCTGATCAAGACAATTGTGTTTATAATTATCAGGTTGGATATTTCAATTGACATGATATATTCGAGCATTGCTGGCAATGAAATTCCAATGCTGGCGGTTGTAGATGATGGAAATGGGATGAGTCATGATGAGATTATGAAAATGGTATCATTTGGTCGGAAGCAACCAGATACAGATGATCCAAATTATATAGGAAGATATGGTGTTGGATTTAAGGTATTTCTTCCTTAATTAATTTTTATGAAAATGAAAGAGTGAAATGCTATTTCTTCCACTTAACCCTTTCATTTATATTATTTTGTTTCAGACTGGAACAATGAGACTTGGTAGGGATGCATTGGTTCTTACACAGACAACAAACTCCAGATCAATTGCTTTTCTTTCACAATCACTAAATGACGGAAAAGATGTATGTAATGCCCTTCTTGGAATTAATGATGATGAGAATGACATTTATGTCTTTTGCACACACTAGAGACTGAGGCGAGACTTTGTCCCACCTTGTAATACCTTTTTCTGGGTGTAGCAAAAAAAAGCATTTTTGGCCATTGTTGGAGGCGATTTTCAGTGATAAGGATGAGAAGGGCATTCACGTCTTTTACACATACAAGTGATCAAGAGCACTTTTTTGGGTGTGGGAAAAATAGCAATATTTATCCATTGGCATCAGTCTTAGACAGGAATGGACTAACTTTTTAGGGTGGGCTAGTTTTAAGTTTTGATGATGAGGATGAGAATTGACATGGGTATTTATGTCTTTTACTTAGAGTCCCTGGAGCCTCTACCCCTTATTGTTACAAGTTTTTGGGTGTGACATTTTGTCCATTATGACATTAGTCCTAGACAAGATTGAACAAGCTTTCTAGGCCCATCTTTAAAAACAAAGATAGAAGGGCATTGATGTCTTTTCCACACGCAATAAGCGATCAGGAATAATTGCAATTTTAGTCTGTTGAGGACTGACTTAGTATTGTATTAGTCATATTTACCTATTTTGTTATCTGACTTTCTTGCAACAGATTATAGAGATCCCAATTGTAACCTATTCTAGGAAAGGACAATATATGGAACTTGATACAAATATCCAGACTGAAGCTTTATCAAAGGCCAATCTGAAAGCCATAATGGAATTTTCGCCATTCAACAAATATTTTATTGGCGAAAAAGCAGGCTTGTTTCAAAAAAAAGGATCTGGGACTCAAATATACATATGGAATTTGGATGAATGGGGATCAAAATATTCTTTAGAATGGGTGAATGGGATGAGTGGTGGTAGTTCTTTCCATCAAGGTGACATACTTATTTGTTCACGTAGGCCCCGCTCTCGCCTTGGCCAAATGACTCGAGAGGTTTTAATTTTAATCATCCATGACTTTTCTATTTAACTATTACTAAATGCAAGAAATAGCAATGTACTTTCATTTATTTGTTTATTATAGCATCTTACTTTCATTTCTTTCTCTTAAAGCAACAAACTTTCACTCTTTTTCTTATTAAGGCGTTGTTCTTTAAGATATTAATAATCAGTTATAGCATTTCTTCCTTATCAGGACATTATACTTTGAAAAATCTACACAGTTATTTGTAAAATTGGGTAGATTTGTCAAAATTGATATAATAAACAGATCAATGGAAGTATGTTGCTATTTCTTGCTTTGATTTCTAAGACATACAAGTTATAACTGTATGTATCGATGTGTTTCATGGTTTTCAGGTTCCATTAGACTATTCACTCAGATCTTATTTAGAAGTCATTTTCTTAGATCCACGAATGAAGATCAATATTCAAGGGGCATTGGTACATTTTGGATTTCTTGTATCTTTTTATTTTTTACCTTTTTAATGAAGCAATCGATATCATTTTAAAGTTATTGAAACAGGTTAAAAGCCGGCCTTTAGCAAGATTTCTACACAAGACAAGCATAGAAAACGGTTCTGTAGCTGGAAAACCAGTTGAACTTATTCTTGGACAATCTCAGTTGGATTTGGAGCAGGGTAATTGTGGAATTTTTTTATATTGGCATGGAAGGTTGATTGAGGTGAATTTTGATCTTGTTTACTATTTCATTTTTTAGTTGAAATGATAAGTTTCTTATGATTTGAGGCTAAACTGATCCTGCATTCCTTTCTTTCTACCCAATTATAGCATTGTACTTTCAATATTCTTGATTATAAGAAAAAAATCTACCCATGTGTAGTAGTAGTGAGAATTATTTTGTAGTGAATAACATTGCTATTATTGGTTGGATGTTTTAAAGTAGAATGTTGTAATAGGAAAAATTGAATGTTGGATGCTTTAATGAAAAAATCAATGAAACTAAGTTGCTATTCCTTGCATATAATCCTATCACTTTATTAGTTAGTTGGTCCTGCTTTAATGTCTAATAGTATAAACAAGACTTACACAATAAAAATGATACATATAATTTCTTCAAAGTTGATCTACATACACATTATAATATCTTCGTTTTTAAGGGCCCTGTTAAACTGTTTTCATTCCTAATATAACATGGAAACCAGCAAGATGAAGATGATAAATGACTGCTTCTTAATTTGATCTCAAAACTTTATGCTAAGTTTTTAATGATTTGTACAGGCTTACAAAAGAGTTGGGAGCATGATTCATAATGGAGAAAAGAGTCATGGGATTATTGGAGTCATAGATGTCACCAATGTCATGGTATATGCTCTTCTATGCTTTAACATTTCAGATTTGAATCTTTTTATTTAAAAAATTAATATTATTATATTATAATTTGTTTGGGTGGTTGTTTTTATGAAATTATGATGCAGGATGATGGTAGTGGTCGTGTTTGGGTGCATAACAACAAACAAGGATTTGTGGATTGTGAGCCTTATGCTCTTCTTGAAGATTGGCTTAGTAAAAAGGCTGATGACTACTTGGATAACAATATTGATAAAGTTCATGTGGTAATTTCCTACTTTTACTCATTGACTTAGTGTCTTGGTTAAAACTAACAATATTTACTTGCTATCAATGGTTTTGAAATCTTGGTTTTATTGTTTATATGTTTAGAAAAAAAGTGGGCCAAGGCATAAACCAGATCATGAATGGGTGCAGTGCAACAAATGTAGGAAATGGAGAATGTTGGATGCTGACTTTGATAGCAAAACACTTCCTCAAGAATGGTAATTTGCATTCCACTTTTTAATATGAATAAATTACATGTTTGGTCCTTGAGTGTAGCCAGATATTGCAGTTTTGGTCCCCCATTAAGTTCTCTTGCAATCTTGGGTCTTATCTGCGGTTCTTGTAATGTTTTTGGTCACTGTGAAAAGTAAAATTCTTTATTTGTGGTCGATTAATAACGGGATCTTCCAAGCATAATTGTTTGTCTTTATATTTCTATTTATTTTTAGTTTAACATTTTTCCTCTTGTGAAATTCTTTAAAAGGTTTTGCTATATGAAACCGGTCAACGGGAAATGTGAGATGCCAGAACAGAAATTAGAACAAGGAGTTATTACAATATCCTCCCAAAGATCCGGATATAATTGCAGTGAGAATTCATCACAAAAGAACAGTAAGGCCAAAGACTCACCAAATAAAGGTACATTTTCCACCCAATTATACCAACATACTTCCATTTGGGTATTTGTTATAGCATCCTACTATAATATTGTACTTTTAAAAAATCTATTGAGTTATAGCAATGAAGACTGCATCTTTCTATAGTTGGGTAGAGTTTTCAAAGTACAATGTTGTAATAGGAAAAAAAACAAAGTAAAATGTTGGATGCTGTAATAAACAAAGGAGTGAAAGTAGGTTGTTATTTCTTGCATTTAACACTATAATTTATGAACATTTTTAGGTGGTGCTGGGTCTGTTATAGGTAAAGGATGTGAAGCAAGGGTGGGTAACGATGAAGATGCAGTACCTAATTGGCCTGTGAAAAGGCTTAGAAGGTTAGTGAAAAAGGTAGTGTAGAAAGAGTTAACACCACACCACACAACACATTTTTGTAAATGGGTAAAGTTTTACCTTTTTTGTACAAGGTAAGTCTCTTTGGAAAGAACCTGTCTACAAATGCATATATACCTTGTAATATTCTCCGATGTCCAACTTTACTTTTGAAAAAAAAATAAGTGAAATTAGGGCGCTATTGGGAGGTTTACCCGTATGGCCTGTTGATATTGATAGTTTTAATTTAAACCCATTAATCATACATTGGGGATGGAATTTTGTTTTTGTTTGTCTTTTTTAGTTTTTGATGTTTAGTGCCAAATCTATTAAAAACATATTTTTGATACTTACATGAGATGTGTCTTTTTCATTCGGTTTATATATACTTCTCCGTTTTGTTTTGGTGGGTTTGCTGTTTTAATCTTTTGAAGTTTCACCCTTGTGGAAGTCTTGTAAATTTCTTAATTTCATGAATTTGCATGTGCATGAGTAAAAGCCCAAATAATAAAGTGTTATTTGATTTTTATTTAATGAGTTGAATGGCATTAATGCTAACCTATCGTTTGTTCTTTCATCTTCAGTCTTCATCTAAACTTCCTTACCTGAACACATGTCAAAATAAATAAGTTAGACTTAGGAACTCTAGTGAACATACCGATGTATTATGTTGTTAAGTGTAAGGAACTTGCACATTCCATACACAATGTAAACCCCTAAAAGTTTTCAACACATCATAAGATCAGTATAGATTTCTGTCATTATAATCCAATGATTTACTAAAATTGTACTATAGATTATGTCTGAGTGCCATAGAACATCAGTCATCAATATTTACTAACTTAAGTAATACAACATTGGCATTAGACCCTCCTAAAATTGTTTCAAGTACCATATCAATCTACCATATGTACTCACATGAGTAATAAAATGGCCGCATTAAACCATTCTAAAGCTGTATATCGGCATTCAACAAGATCACATAAGCAATGGCTAAAACAAAAAGTTGCATGAAGAAACTGAATGCACCTTCAAAGTAAACATACAAAGCAGCCATTATTTTCCTTCATCTTGTTATTAATATGATTGAAAGGATATAAATATGTGAGGATATTGTTGTTATATATAGGTGATATAAACATCTTTTAGAGTATGAAATGGGACTACAGTCTCCAAGTGGCTTCTACCTTTGAAAGAATGTAGAACAATAGAGAAATGTTAGTGCATACATTAATGGCTATGTGGAAAACAAGGTCTCACTCATTCAAAGACGTCATCTCTTATTCAGGCGAGGTATCAATTATCATAACTCAGCATCTTTTATTTTGCCAAAATATCATATTTTAGACAAGTGTTGACATGCATTTTCTAGGACAACCCTCTAAGTAATGCTTAAATGTCCTAAAAGTATGAATAATAAGAATGTAGATCATGTTGGGGTTGAAACACACTTTTATTCAGAACTAGAACAAAAGGAGGAGCTTACTAGCTCAATTACAAGAAAAGAAACAACCCTCTAATACTCACTCTAAGTATTACACACTACACTCTCTGTTTAGTGGTACTATGACTGAAGTTTGAGTTCTTATTTATACTTAAACAAGCCTACAATTACTACTGCTACCATTTATTGTGTTCATTATGTGAACATACGAAGCTGCCAGTTTAATGTCAACAAAGGAAGCATTCACTTGTCAACAGAAGAGGGTAGTGTAGCTATTCATGTCAGGTTCACACCAAGTTAGGTTTACTCTCACATTCTCCCCCTTAAACCGAACTTGGATCGAGATTCGTCACTCCAATCATGTTTTGCATTTCACCATGTTTCACGTATGCTAAAGCCTTTGTAAAGATGTCCGCCCGTTGATCCTTCGAGTTGACATATTCCACTACAATTTGCCCACGTTCAACACATTCTCGTATAAAGTGATAACGAATGTCAATGTGTTTGCTTCGACCATGAAACACATGATTTTTCATCAATGCGATTGCTGATTTGTTATCGACGTATAAGGTGATAGGCATGATATGATGTCTCGTGAGCTCCTTCACGAGATTAGCAAGCCAAATGGCTTGACATGCTGCTGTTGTAGCTGCCATGAACTCGGCTTCACACGTAGACAGAGCATCAGTCTTTTGCTTTTGGGATTGCCAAGTTATTGCATTCCTTCCTAGATAGAAAATCATTCCACTTGTGCTCTTGCTATCAACAAGGTCACCTCCAAGATCACTATCGGTAAAACCAACCAAATCTTCAATTTCACGACCTCTTACATAGTTGAGTCCATAGTCAACGGTTCCTTTTACATATCGTAAGATGTGTTTCACAACTTGGAAATGCAAAGTGGTCGGTTCCTCCATGAAACGACTTGCAATTCCAACCGAAAATGACAGGTCTGGTCGAGTGTGAGTCAAGTACCTCAAACAACCTACCACTCGCCTATATTCAGTTGGATCAACTTTTTCACCATCTTCATCCTTCTTGACCTTCAACTTAGGTTCCATTGGTGACGTTGTCGGATTGCAATCCAGCAACCCAAATTTCTCTAAAATCTTCTTTGCATAAGCCGTTTGTCGCAAAGATATTCCCCACTTCTTTTGCGAAACTTCGATTCCAAGGTAGTAAGAAAGTAATCCCAAGTCACTCATTTCGAATTTTTTCTTCATTTGTTTTTTGAATTCGACAACGCCGTTAATGTTCGACCCGGTAATGATCAAGTCATCAACATAGACACTAGCAATAAGAATTTTGTCTTTTGAGTTCCTTTTGTAAACAGCTGGGTCTTGTGAACTTTTTGTAAAACCAAGCCTTTTTAAGCTTTTATCCAAACGAATGTTCCAAGCTCGAGGAGCTTGTCGTAGACCATAAAGAGCTTTATAAAGCTTGAACACCTTGTGACTGTTTGCTCTATCAACATATCCTTCTGGTTGGGTAACATAAACCTCCTCTTTGAGATCTCCATTGAGAAATGCCGACTTGACATCGAGATGGTGGACAACCCACCCATGTTGAGCTGCTAATGCAAGAATAAGCCTTACAGTGTCAAGTCGTGCTACCGGTGCAAAAACTTCATCAAAGCCGACTCCTTCCTTTTGTACAAATCCTTTTGCTACAAGTCGAGCTTTATGCTTCACCACTTTTCCCAAGTTGTCTTTCTTCACTTTAAACACCCATTTCAAACCGATTGCTTTGTGTCCGGGTGGCAAATCGGTAAGTTGCCATGTCTTGTTCTTCTCGATTGCATCCAACTCTGTTTGCATAGCCTCCTGCCATGCTTTAGAGGTTACCGCCTCTTTAAAATTCAAGGGTTGATCCGCTGCAATCATCAACAATTCTCCGGGTTCAAGGAACACATTTTCGGTTTCAGAATAAATATCGGTTAACGGACGTAATCCCCTCGGTCCAATCTCACTAGAAGGTCTTTCCATATGGGGCGAGGTTGAAGAAAACGGGGCTGAGACAGGAGTTTGTGGGTCTGATTCAGGCTCGTCAAATTCAACATATAGTTGTCCAACTTGGATAGCATCGATTCCTGGACTGTCTGATTGTTCCGGGTTGATTTCGAGGTCATTTTGAAGAGTTTTGAGGTGTATTTGGGGTTGTGGTTCAATTATGGTAAAGGTCTTAGGAGTCGCCATCTCTTCTTCTTTGTTTTTGTACCAATTCCATTCTTCTTTTTCATTAAAAACAACATCGCGACTAACTCGCAACTTTCGGTCTTGCGGATCAAACAAATGGTTGCCTTTAGTTCCATCTTCCACACCTAAATACACCATCTTCTTACTTCGATCATCAAGCTTTTTCAATTGACCACCTACAAGTTTAGAAAAAGCAACACAACCAAAAACTTTTAGATGTTCAAGGTTGGGCTTTTTGCCAAACCATGCTTCATAAGGCGTCTTGTCAGGAAGTGCTTTTGTTGGCAGGCGGTTAAGAAGATAAATTGCATGTCTAACCGCTTCTCCCCAAAACTCTCCTGGAACATTTCTTCCTTTGAGCAGACTTCTTGCCATGTCCATAACGGTCCGATTTCGCCTTTCTACAACTCCGTTCTGTTGAGGCCAATATGGTGTCGTAAGATGCCTTTGAATACCATTTTCTTCACAAAATAATGAGAATTCTTTTGAAGTGAACTCTCCCCCTCGATCCGTTCGAAGTGTCTTCATTTGATAAACCGAATTCTTTTCAACCATCAACTTGAACCGTTTGAAAGCGCTCAAGGCTTGAGACTTCTCCGATAGCATGTAAACCCACATCCAACGGCTAAAATCGTCTACTAAAAGGAGAAAATATTTACTCCCTCCAACAGACGTAGGTGTGATCGGACCACATAAGTCCGCATGAACAAGTTGTAGAAGTTTTTGAGCCCGAAAAACTGCGTGATCCGGGAAAGGAATTCGGGTTTGTTTGGAAAGAACGCACCCTTCACATATTTAGTTTGGGTGCTCAATCTTTGGGACTCCGGTTGCCATATTCTTTTCGGACAACTTCTTTAAGGCGAGAAAGTTAACATGACCGAGTCTAAAATGTCATATCCAAGCTGGTTCGTCTTTTGTTGCTAAAAGACAAGTCGGTCTACCGGTCCTTAAAGGAGTTTTATATAACCGGTTTGGGGATCGTTTAACTCTCAAAAGTAGAGTTTTGTTTCTGTCAAACAATGTCAGATCCGACCCGTCCATTATGACCCGACTCCCTTCCTCCGTCATTTGTCCAAGACTAATAATATTGTTTTTTAGACTTGGAATGAAATATACCTCATTAAGGAGTCTTTGGTCGCCATTTTTGCTATCGAATAAAATCGACCCTTTTCCCAAAATAGCGACGGTCGAACCATCCCTAAATTTCACATGGCCCGTAACGTGCTCATCTAGTTCGCGAAACTTTGAGCGGTCTCCGGTCATATGATTGCTAGCACCGTTGTCGAGATACCATACCTCGGACTCGACTCGACTTTCTCCTGATGCAAGAAGATTAACACAAATCTTCTCTCTTAGAGACACCTTTTTGTGTGCATATTCTTGTGAGGTTGCCATCATCAAAATAGGCTCTTCTTCGTTGGCTTGAGTGAGGTTTGCCTCCTCACCTCGATTCTTGTTTGGACACTCCGAAGCATAATGACCAAATTGTTCACAAGTAAAACATTTAATTTTACTTTTATCCTTTCGAGAAGGATTATGGTCATTCCGATTTGTATTGTACTCGTGACCACCTCCTTGGCCACGTCCACGACCTCAGCCTCGTCCTTGGCCTCGATTACCATGTCCTCCTTGTCCTCTTGAAGTGTTTGACGAGTTTCTCTCGCCAGTTTGCTTCGAATGAGATGCCCACTCGACATGTGTAAGCAATAGAGAAGGTCCTCCTTCTTTTTCTCCATAGCTTCGAAGTCTCTCTTCATGGGTCTTAAGACGACCCGCAACTTCTTCCACCGTCATATTCTTCAAATCTCCGAATTGCTCGATAGATGTTACGATTTGTATAAATCGTATCGGTACGGCTCGCAGAAACTTCTTCACAACCGTAATTTCTTCAATCTTTTCACCTAGAGATCGAATACCGGTTACGATAGTATTCAATCTCATGGAAAAATCATTTACCGATTCACTGTCTTTCATCCGGATTACCTCGAAGTCACTTATCAAGGTTTGAGCTTTAGCCTCCTTGACCCGATCGGCTCCCATGTGCATCAGCTTAAGCGTTTCACATGCTTCTTTAGTTGTGTCCTTCTCAGCTAACATCAGAAGTATGTCCTCTGGAATTGCTTGATAAATAGCCGCAAGAGCCATCCGATCTTTATGTTCGTCCGTTTCTGCATTTTTAATTACATCCCATACTCCTTGTGCTTGTAGATTCACTCGCATCTTTATGGCCCACACCGCATAGTTCATCTTCGTGAGCATTGGATAGTGTAACGTAACACTACCATCTTTCCCGGTCCTCTGAATACCTTCAACTTCGGCTTGAGAAGATGACGATGTTGGTGTAGTCATTCTTGGCATATACTTGGGCATACACGACTATGAATTTTTTTTGAAGTACGGGGACCAATATGAACTTTTCAGAAGTTCAGGGGGCAAATAGAACTTTTACAGAAGTAAAATAGGGGCTAAACTGAAATTTTTCTGAAAAGCAGGACCAAAATTGCAATTTTTCTGAAAAACGGGACCAAAATTGTAATTTTTCTGAAAAACAGGGGCTAAATTGCACTTTCCGGAAGAACAGGGGCTAAACTGCAATTTTCTGAACTCTGGTCAGCTGCTGACGTCACTGCTACAGTGTCGTCTTCTCCGGCTGTTTTCTCCGGCAGACTGGTTTTTCCGGCGAACTTTCCGGCGACTATTGACCAAGTTTGACCGGCGATTTGGAGGTCTTCCGGTGGTCAAAAAATTCAAAAAAATATATTTTCGGAATCCTTAGAACGAGACCTTTCCAACGATGTACTCCAAAAGTGTTTTTGAGACAAAAAAAATTTCGACCAAAAAACAGAGAATGCTTCCCCGGAGCTTAACCAAGCTCTGATACCACTTGTTGGGGGTTGAAACACACTTTTATTCAGAACTAGAACAAAAGGAGGAGCTTACTAGCTTAATTACAAGAAAAGAAACAACCCTCTAATACTCACTCTAAGTATTACACACTACACTCTCTGTTTAGTGGTACTATGACTGAAGTTTGAGTTCTTATTTATACTTAAACAAGCCTACAATTACTACTGCTACCATTTATTGTGTTCATTATGTGAACATACGAAGCTGCCAGTTTAATGTCAACAAAGGAAGCATTCACTTGTCAACAGAAGAGGGTAGTGTAGCTATTCATGTCAGGTTCACACCAAGTTAGGTTTACTCTCACAGATCAGTAAGAAATAAAACCTGTAAAGCTTCGCTTTCTCATGGTATTACCTAATGATTGGTAGAGTATAAGCTTCAAACACTTTAAGAATCAGTTCCCCCATTGGAAACAACATTGATAAATAAATTTTTCTACAGATTAGCTGGAGGATTTGGGTGTATGAAGAAAAGCATGTAATCAATAATTGTAGGGCTTCTTAACATCTCTTCTTCAAATCGAGGGGCAAAATTAGTAAAACAAAAGAAGTATAAAAGCAACATGTAAAACGAGAAAAAGTATGTAATCCGACACACATGAACAACTTTAATTTCCTTACCAAAGAAGAGGGCTAATATGGGTAGTAAGTCTAAAATAGTGTGTTAGGGTTTCAAGTCAATGATTTTACCTTTGCTTTCTTCCTAAATGGGTCAAGACAATCAGTTAAAGCTGATGTTGAGGTAAGAAGAGCCTTGATAAGTAAAAGTGCCTACATGAGGAAGAAAAGAGTGTCATGCAATATGAAACTAGATGTAAGGATGTTGTTCAACTCACAATTAATGTTCTAAGAATAACACAAAGTTAGTGCAGAAAAACTGTCCAAAATTCATCGATTTATTATTCATGTTAGGTTACCTCATGTTCACCAATGCTCGCTTCCAAAACCTCTATATCATCAACAGGAACCCCACGTGTGTTGAATTTTGAAATTGTAGCAATCGATGGAGAGGCTGTTACTGTAAGATCATCAGCAACTATGAATGTTGTTTGTTCCTTGAGGAAATGTCGTGGCCATATTGCTACTTCATCTGTTTCTAGAAGTCAAACCGTGTATTATTATTGATATCTCAAAGATTACGATACATATGAACCTAATATATATAGTTTAGATAAATACAACTAGGTACCCTCTAATTTAAGTAAAATACAATGCAACACATAAACTTAGTCTAACATTCCCCCGCAAGTTAAGGGCGGGGAACGACCTGTAGCTTGGATCGTAAAAAGAGAAATCTTTGAGAAGACAACGGTTTGGTAAAAACATCAGCGATCTGATCAGCAATAGAAATGAACTGAACACATAATTGACCAGAAGCCACACGTTCACGAACAAAGTGAAAATCCACTTCAACATGTTTGGTGCGAGCATGAAAAACCGGATTAGCAGCTAGATAGGTAGCACCAAGATTGTCACACCAAAGTGTAGGACGTTGAACTGAAACTCCCAATTCATTGAGAAGAGCTTTCAACCAGACTAATTCAGCCACCGTATCTGCAAGGGCTTTGTACTCCGACTCAGTTGAAGATCTTGAGACAGTACGCTGTTTTCGGGCAGTCCATGAGATCAAGTTCGATCCCAAATATATAGCAAATCCTCCCGTGGAACGTCGATCATCAGGGCATCCTGACCAGGCTGAATCCGAGAAAGCATGTAAAGAATCAAATGCAGAGTGTTGCCAATGAACATCCGTAAAGGCTTGGAGAGAGGAACCCGAATCATGCCTAATGAGAAGTCCAAAATCAGTTGTGCCCTGTAAGTACCGCACGATGCGTTTGACAGCAGACCAAAGGTTTTTGGTAGGAGCATGCATGAATTGACACACTTTGTTGACGGCATAAGCAATGTCAGGACGAGAGATACTATCATACTGAAGAGCTCTAACGAGTTGTCTATAGATAGTCGGATCCGGCAAGAGAGGACTGTTACCAATAGATAAGACCTGAGTGGTGGTCATTGGAGATTGGACCGGTTTGCAATCCTTGAGACCCAAACGATGAAGAATATCCAAAATATACTTCCGTTGAGACAATATGAGGTCAGAATTACGAGAAACAATCTCAGTGACCAAGAAGTAATGTAGTTGACCAAGGTCTTTAATGGCAAAAGTGGAACCCAACTGTTGAATGAGGTGAGCAATCATTGCATCATCATTACCTGTAATAATGATATCATCCACGTAGACTAGAATGTAAATTCGAGTCCGACCTGTTTTCATAATAAATAAAGATGGGTCAGTGCGAGACCCCGAAAAACCAAAACGATGCAACACAGTGGACAAGCATTGAAACCAAGCTCGTGGAGCTTGCTTGAGACCATACAAAGACTTGTGAAGAAGGCACACATGACCAGGTTTAGAAGGATCAACAAAATCCTTGTGGCTGCCGGATGTAAACGGTTTCTTTTAAGTCACCATGCAAAAATGCATTCTGAACATCCAATTGCCTGATTGACCATTTGTTAGTTACAGCAAGAGAGAGAACAACCCGAATTGTGGTGGCTTTGATCACATGACTGAAAGTTTCATGATAGTCAACACCCGCTTGTTGTTTGAAACCCTTTGCTACAAGTCGTGCTTTGTAGCGAGAAATATTGCCCTCGGGGTCTTGCTTAAGTTTATAAACCCATTTGCAATCTATGATGTTGGCATGAGGAACTGGAGGGACAAGAGTCCAAGTACCATTTTTGATAAGAGCAGTGTATTCCTCTAACATGGCATTCCGCCATTACTGAGATTTGCTCGCAACCGAAAAAGAGGTAGGTTCGGTAATAAAAGCAGTAGCATGATATGCCGAGGGGCTATAAGGTGTAGTCCGTTTCGGGTTGGGGCGTAAATGTGGGGGACGGGTCCGTGGAGCAGGAGGTGGCGTGGCAGCAGGAGAGGTATCAAACGACTCAGGCGGGGTAGTTTCGGTGGTGAGGGGTGGCGATGCTGCCAAGGGAGTAGTGATAGGAGATGCAGGAGGTGTGGCTGGAGGTGAGTCATCAATAGTAGTAGTAGAAGTAGGATCGGGTATAAAACTCGGGAGAGACGAAACATACGTAGCGGCAGGAGTGGTACTAGGAGGAGGTGGGCGTTTGAACGGAAAAACATTCTCATTAAATCGAACATGGCGAGCAATGTAGATTCGATCCGTAGAGGTGTCAAGGCACCGGTAACCATGGTGTAGTGGGCTATAACCAAGAAATGTACAAGGAGTAGAGCGGAAATCCATTTTGTATCTATTGTACGGGCGAAGATGTGGAAAACATTCACATCCAAAAACCCGAAGAAAGGTGTAGTCAGGTTTTCGACTGAAGACATGTTGGTAAGGTGATCTATTGGATGAGGTTCGAGATGGTAAGCGATTGATAAGATACACGGCTGTCTCAAAAGCAAACTGCCAAAATCGTTGGGGAAGATTGGCATGAGCAAGGAGAGTAAGGCCAGTTTCAACCATATGACGATGACGTCGCTCAACAAAACCATTTTGCTCGCTAGTGTGAGGGCATGAGCGACGATGAATAATTCCAAGTGATGACAAAAAGGAAGATAGATTGCGAAATTCCCCTCCCCAATCGGTTTGAACACTTTTGAGTTTGGTATTGAATTGTCGTTCTACCATCTTGACAAAGTTGGTGAAAGTTTGAAAAACATCAGATTTATGTGTCAACGGGAAAAACCACATATAGCGAAAGTGATGATCAACACAAAGTAAAAAGAACCGACAACCATCAAATGATAAAGTAGGTGAGGGACCCCAAACATCACAATAAATTAAGTCTAAAATATTATTGCTTCGAAAAGATGAACTAGGTAAAGAAAGTTTGGAAGATTTCCCTAACTGACAAGAAGAACATAAATCTAAACAATGTTTTGTAGAAACAGGAAGCGAACAACTAGAAACAATAGTGTCAAAGACACGTTGATGTGGATGACCAAGGCGGTGGTGCCAGATTCTTGAGGAAGCTTTAGTTGCTGTGAGAGCCAACTTTGGTAAAGACTTGAAACTTGGAAGACGAAGCGAGTAGAGACCGTTACTACTTGGTCCCGTGAGAAGAGTGGTGCGAGTACGTTCGTCCTTCACAACAAAGAAAGAAGAGTGAAATTCAAAGAAAACATTGTTGTCTTGACAAAATTGTTGAACAGATAAGAGATTTTTCTTGACATCCGGAACATGAAGAATATTGGAAAGATTAAAGGTTTTATTAGATGAATATGCAACGACCCAAAAATCATGACTAAAAATTTCGTTTTAAAAACATTACTTAAACCACAATTGTCAATTCAAAACATAAATAATAACATAAAATCATAATGTTAATTTCAAAACATAATCTTCTTATCAGAGTAAAACATCCCAGGCTGACTAGCTATGGTGTGTGCCATGCGATCATCCCGAGCTCTACTCTCCGCTACCGGAAATACCTGAAACCAAAACTGAAAACTGTAAGCACGAAGCTTAGTGATCTCCACCAAACTACCACATACCAAACAATAACATATAAAGCACATATTGGGCCTTGCCCACTGCATCAGACCAAAGCCCGGACTAACTGGGCCTTGCCCCCTGCATCGGACCGAAATCCGGACTAACTGGGGCCTTGCCCCCTGCATCGGACTGAAATCCGGACTAACTGGGGCCTTGCCCCCTGCATCGGACCAAAGTCCGGACTAACTGGGGCCTTGCCCCCTGCATCGGACCGAAGTCCGGACTAACGGAACATAGCATAACATAATCATAACTACTAGCGTAAACACATATACTGCATACTGCATCAGACCGAGGTCCGGACTAACTAACACATAAACATGCCTGGATCACAAAGACATCAAGCATACTGTACTACTGCATCGGACCAAAGTCTGGAACTACTGCTATCTAAACGGGCCGACATTGTGGCCATAGACCCGTTCCTACTGGAAGGAAACTCGTCTGTACTGCTGAACTCTGCTGATAATCCTCTGGCTGCTAATCGACTATTCTCTGAAGCGCTGCTCTCCTAGCTCACCGAGGTACCAACACCAAATAATAGAACTTAGCCTAAACTGTCCTCCAGAGGTCAACTAAGTCAACTCTGGTCAAGGTCCTGGTCAAAGTCAACCTTCCAGTTGACTCGACTCGCCGAGTTGTTCTACCAACTCGCCGAGTCCATGCTCCTCAAATCCCAAACAACCCCGACTCCACTCGTCGAGTCTAGCGAGAACTCGACGAGATCTCCTTCATCTAACACTTCGGGACTATCTTCAACCGACTCGCCGAGTTGTTCTACAACTCGCCGAGTCCATCTTCATCGGCTAAGGAGATTGCCTTGGACTCGCCGAGTTCCTCCTTGAACTCGTCGAGTACCATGATCTTCATGATCATCACGGGCACAGACTGGCTGAGTCCTTCTCTAACCCCACTCACTGATCCGACTCATAAACATAAGGGTTTGGGTTTTGCGACCCGACTCGCCGAGTCCATGAGCTGACTCGCCGAGTCCTCCTTGAGACAACTCTATTATGTCGATTTCAGTCTATTCCAACACTTCTAACTCATAGATCTGGACTCCTTATGCTAGCATGGCACGTAAAGTTGCTAACTTTACGTGCATGCAAGGTGTTATGAGGCTAGAACACCCTAATCTAAACTACAATGGAGGTCTAAGTCATGAAAGGAAGCCATAGCTGAGTAAAGCTTCTCAATCAGAGCTTTTAGAGCTCAGAAATGCTTAGATCTAATCTCTATTCGTCCTCAAAGGCTCAATACTCAGGTTGGCCTTGGAAATGGTCCCAAAAGTCTCATAAAAGGGACATGAAGAGATCTAAGAAACCATAGATCAAGGTAAGAGCTTGATTACCAGAAAGTGATGAGGAAGAGGGACTCCTTCTGGATCTACAATCACTCCTTAGCTCTTCCAACTCCTTCTTCTTCTTCTAGACTTCAAATCACTCAAGAACACACAATAATAGCTCACACTTTCATGGAGGACACTAGGGTTTCGCTCTGGACAGTGGGGGCTGTAAATGAAGCCCTAGAAATGGGAATGAGATGCTTAAATAGGGTGCCAAGTCCCGAAATTAGGTTTTCCCAACCCAGACCAGACTCGCCGAGTACACTAGCCGACTCGTCGAGTCGGTCACTTAACCTTGCACATGGATCCCGCTCCGACTCGCCGAGTCATTCCTTGGACTCGACGAGTTGACTCCTTTGACTTAGGGCTTTCCTTCCCTTTCTTGGTCTTTCTGATTCTGGGTGTTACTACTCCCCCCCACTTAAACTAGACTTCGTCCTCGAAGTCCGCTACGGCCAACTGTCCTGCAATCTGCCTTCAACTTTCCTGCTTGATGACTCTAACTCCTTCTGACCACTTCCATTGACCTTCCGTCCGGTCATTCAGACTAATATTAGTTCTTGTAGCTAATCACCTTGAGTGCACTCTAATTCTCAACAATCCTGAGAACACATCTTACCCAACTGACCATCCATCTGGTACTCCCCGGGTACTTATGATGAACATCCTAGAGGCTCACCCTCTTTTCCTTGCGCGTTTTCTGACTTCCCCAAGGCAACTCTCCATAACTAACCATCTCCCCTGCCACTGCGAAGAACATTCCTTTCACGCTATCCATTACTCCAGCCATTTAAACTAGATTTCATCCTCGAAATCATTCCTTATCATTCCTTACCATTCCTTACATGCTAACTACTCCAGGTTCCCACTAGAACAACAGAATTCACAGATCCACTTATCCCTGCGATCCACTTGTACTTGGCCATAACTCCGATAATCGTGCTATGAGTGACTTGCCATTCCCCAAGCTATCCATGAAAATCCAAAATACCATTACCGCTGGAGACCCAACACTGTCTGAAACACTGATCTGCCTGGAAACACTGAACTGCCTGGAACACTGAACTGCCTGAATACTGAACTGCCTAAAACACTGAACTGCCTGAACACTGAACTGCCTGAAACACTGAACTGCCTGAAACACTGAACTGCCCGAAACACTGAACTGCCTGAACACTGAACTGCCTGAAACAACATGCTACTACATGGCTGTTTTCCAACATCTATCGAGACCTTCCTGGTCTCAATTCATTCGTCGGTCATCTGAAATACAGGGTTCCCGCCCGACTGCGGAGCCCCAAGGACTCCCTACTTAGTCGCCTCACACAACTTCTGAACGAAATCCTTCTCTAAAACTAACAACTACTAGTTATCTTGTCACTGTGGCCCGTAGCGACCTTCTGATCTAACTGATCGATTCCACACGTCGAATCCTGAGGTTACCAACCCACAGCTAAACGCGATTGCTACATGACCAATTGTAGCCTTATATAACAAGTAACCTGAAGCAATCCATTGCTTCCTCGATCTCACAACTGCAGTGGCATTCCTACAGTCTTATCACCGGCTCAACTAGGTCTAATCCATCCAGACAATTCTGAAATCCACTTCGTGGATTTCCACATCCTTACTGCTACGCCCGAACTGGGGGGCTAATGTTCCTTCCGCATCCTAACAACGCGCTCATGCTGTCTACCAGCCAAGTGTATTCCACGGCTACGCCCGCAGTCTCACAACACTCAAGCACTACCTAACTGCTAGTGAATGCTACGGCTACACCCGCAGACTTACAACACTCTAACACTATCTGGCTACTAGTGAATGCTACGGCTACACCCGCAGACTTACAACACTCTAACACTATCTGACTGCTAGTGAATGCTACGGCTACACCCGCAGACTTACAACACTCTAACACTATCTCATTTGTTGGTTACTGATCCGAACACATCCGACGACGAGTATACATACGACCTATCATTCAAGACTGAACCCAGGTCCTGACTGGAATCCCCAACCTGATTCCCTAAGGCTTGCTGGCAAACATTACGGGAATGCGATCTCCTTACTGGCAAGTTTTTCCGAACTTCCATCTCACACTACCCTCAAACCACACATCTGTCTAGACTGTCTTCCTTTCTGATAAGGATGCGAAACTTATCCCAGTTTCAAAACTGCTCCTACTTCTGAATCCTTGGATGATTCTCCCCCACTTTGATTCAACTAACGTCTTACAACACACAATGCTGGAAGGATCCTCAATCCTTCTTACCATTCTATGCCCAATCTGCTGAAAACCATGTTTGCCATTGCTAGTGTGTCACTACTAACCAGTCCAAAAGATCACACCACTTCCAAGAATCTGAATACATTTTCGGTGATAACCTGCTAGACCCAG